TTTAAAATCACCATTCACAAGACCTTGATTTTTAAAAGAAGCACAACTTCAATTGTTGATAAGCTGCCTACGAGAAAAAAACTACACGACAGCAACGGAAGCATCAAACTTTTAGAAGAAAAAGAACCACTCAAACATGTTTTAACTAATTTTATGTTCTCAACAACGTTAAACAAGTTCATATATAGATCTATACATGGTGTAATGAGAACAAATAAAGAAATAAATACCAGAAAGACCAAATATCAATCACTTGCCAGACTCGTTTTATAAGATCCTACCAGAGACCCAAATAACATAATACAATGGTTTAATGGTTTAATGGTTAAACTGGAAGGGGCATACCGTTTGCATCATACTGACTGTGGAGCCATTGCAATTGAGTGAGGTGGAATGTTGAATTAGAAACCTCTGATCTTCTACATGTAGTGGTTGCACCATTCTCAAAATCCATATGAACAAACTCACTGACTGCATAATCAGTGACTCTATTTCCAGCATTGCTCTTCCTTTTTACGATAGCTCTCGGGATAGAACTCGAGATCTTTCGACCATATTTTCCAAACTGGTGATGCAATTTCTTCCGTGTTCTTCTCTCTTTAGATGGTGTTGATACACAGCCTCCCATGATAGCCTTCCAAAAATCAAAAGAATCACCCCAAGTTCGATTCACCTCATCAAATACCTGAAAAAAATGGTGTATTCAATAATCAATTTCGGATACATATTACAGTGATAATGTAAATCTCTACATACATCAATGTTCTGAGAGCACAAGAGAGATAGAGACAGATAGATCAAACAAAATTTTGGTGGAATCCCAAAACTAAAACGCTGAAAAGTCTGAGAAATTTGAAGCTTCAACCTTGAATCTGGAGAAATTGGAGACGAGAGAGAAAAAGAAGAGCCCTCTTTCCTTGGCTATGCCATCTCAAAAGAGAAAAACCAAATACAAAAGAACAAACAAATAGAAAAGGAAATTTGAGAGAAAAGGTTTGAGGGTCCACTTGAATGAATTGGAGGACATAATGTTTCATGAGTAAGAACCACATAAAAGAACAAATGGATGAAAACAACATCCATGAACAAAGTAGAACATGATGTCAATGTAAAAAAGAAAAAAAAAGAATTGAAAAACAGAACCATTTCACAGATGAAAACAAAAAATAATTGCGTTTTACTGTTCCTGACGATGGTGATAATGATTAACAACAACAACAACAACAACACCACAATATTAAAATACCAAAAACAAATACTCGTGATTCAACACTAAACCAAACAGAACAAGAACAACTTGAACAACTTGAACAAGAAGATTTCATCAACAAAACATAAGGAAAATGCAGGGACGAACCAGAACTGATCAAAGGGATTACAGAGAAGAACTTCCAGAAACGATTCCGTGATGCCGGGCGGATCACGGCGGAGCTATCTCCCTTTCCCTGCGACCCAAAAGTGAAGGAGGGGTTGAAATTGTGGAAAGGGTAGGTGGGTGGGTCCAAGAAGAAATCAGATCGAAGTGCAATAAAAAACCCAGATGGCGATTCTTCCTCGAAATGACAAAAAGAATCGTGGAAACACTAAAAAAGAAACAGTGAAATGGTGGAAGAAACGAAATGCAGAAGAAGCAGGAAGCAAAACGCAGAGATACTATGAAGGTTCTATTTGATCGCTCACTATCTTCTTCGCTTTCTTTCTTTTTTTTCTCCTGAAATTTAGGTTTGCTCTGTCTTGGAATTTGTCGGCACAGAAACAGAGTGAGAGAGAAGGATCAGCTGGTGTTGTCTTCTTCCGGCTTCAGGAGTTGTCTTCCACCAATTCCGTGTTACAAATTTTTCAGTCGTTGCCTCCGTCTTTTCTTTTCATTATTTATATTTATATTGTCAAATTAAACCATTAATAATCAAAACAACCGCCAAAATCAACTTCAACACGTTTTTTCTCTCTTTATCTTAAGATTTTTTTTTTTAATTAAACTTTAAAATAATGTTTTAATTTTTAATGAAGGGTTTCCTATGGCTAAGTAAGAATCAATTTGGAGGGTTATACACCAAGTGCGTCTCCTCGCAAGAGATTTCCACTCTTATGTTCTCCTCTCCAACCGACGATGATCTCACAATCTATCTACTTGGGAGCCCAGAGTATTCGCTGACACATTGCTTGGTATTTGGTTCAAATATCATAGAAACAGTTTAAGTCTACCACTAACAGATATTGTCCGCTTTAGCCCATTACGTTACACGGGTGTTTATAAGGATAAATGTTCACACCCTTATAAACAAACTTTGTTCCCATCTACTACGAAGGTGGAATCTCACAATTAAAAAAAAAAAAAAATGCATAACCATAAGTATATTAATATTGAGATTTTGAAATATTTTTTTTAGTAAAAGATGATGTATTTTTATCTAGTTTGATTCAATGAATGTTAAACGTCCAGTGCCAAAGTTACTAAATTGGTAAGTCGTCAATCCCTAAAACGGATTATGTAATATACTTTATTTACTAGGTTACAGGGGTGCATTTTACCAGAGGTTTCTATCGTATCAATCTACCCTTATTTAATTTATGTTGAAGCATATACTCGGGGAGAGGTGCAAGACGAATGAAAGAATGATTAGAATAAAACATTTAAAAACAATAATTTAAAACATACGAGCAAGCAAGTACTTAATATTTATTTTGACTTAAAACGTATCGATTATCTTTCTAAGCTTGTTTTATAATATAATAATATCTATTTGATCTATACCTGCAATAATTATATAATTTTTATTTTAATTTAATCTTCGTGCTCATAATATACAATGATCCCATTAAATAAGCTTGTTTTATTTTTTATTTAATTATTTTCGTGGGGATGGATTAATTAAACTTTTTTTCTTTTAAATATGATAATTTATTATTATTATTATCCTCATCATATCATTATAATTCATAGGTTAAATTATTAATATATATATATTGTAATTTACATTTATTACCTAAAAGATACCATTATTAATTTTAATTTTCGTGTAAAAAATGATTTATATTCTAATAATAGGTTTTAAACTTTTATAAAAATAAGTGGTAACATAGTAATTTTTTAAAGAATAAAGCTATTTTTTAAATAAATAGAAAAATTAAAATATTTGCTATATTTTTATAAGTACTAGATAAGGATGAAATTTAAAAGTATGAGTTTTATTAAATTAAAATCAAATTTAACCACTTGATAATTAAAATAAAAAATAAAATAAAATACTTATTTAACTAAGATTAAAAAAAAGAGAGACTAAGAGAGTATTTAAACTACTAATGTGATTGTATTATTTATAATTTTTAATGTCTAGAAGGGATTAATTGATCATTTAATGACCATTGACTTTATAAAGTCAACAATTGTATTGAGATTTGGTCACCAAATCCCACCATGGCATCCCCAGTCTTCTTTGGGGCATTATGGTCTTTTCGTAAGGCAATGAATATTGAAAACCCACTATGAATTTTACTTTAGTATATATAAATTTGTGACAAATCATATCTTATATGATAAAGAAATAAAAAAAGGTTAAAGACATTGGAATTATGAATTCATCAAGAAAGGCGTGGCATATGGTAGCAACACATGTAACACATTAATTTTAATAACATATTATATAATGTATGGTCCAACAAAAAAATTATATATATAAAAATAAAAATAAAAGATATGGTAATGTTTAATTTTGAAAATAAGCCAAAAAAAATCCAACTTCAATATAGCTGTATTCCTCAACCCCATATATTTTGTTTTAAATAAATAATTTATTTGTTAAAAAAGGAAGAAAAAAAAAATGATAAATATGCTCCCAATTTCTAACCCCACCATTTTCATCGCCTTTCTTAAATTATGAAATGGAATTATTTTGTTTGATTTGAACTTTGTCTAACTTTATTGTGACAAATGATGAACAAAATGTTATCAAAATTTGGTCACATCTCATCCATACCGACCATTATTCAACTAGCTTTAAAGGTATAAATATTTTTTTTCTTTTCACGATAAAAAAATATTAGAAGATCATGAACATACAATTAAGAAATGTTGTACGACTTTTGGAGTGAATATTTTAGCTCTGGATCGACCTCGCCTAAAATAGGTGCACTAGAAAAGGAAGGCGAAACTCGAAAAGTGTATTAAAAATTAAGATATTATTATTGTTGAATATGAAATTTATATTATTTATCTAGCTGTTCACCTTATGATAATATTATTTTTATAATATAACTTTTTAATTTAATAAAAATAACCTTAAAATTGATCCCAAGTTTTAAAATATTAAATATTAATAATTATCCAAAATAACAACTATATTAATTTTTAGTTAATAATTTATTATCATTACTTTATTCATTGCTTTCCTACCATTAATATTTTAAACACAACCAAATTAATGAAGATACAGGAAATATTGCATTAATCACTCGATTATATATTAATTTTATATTTGTTATAATTATAATTATATATAAGAATCTATCCCTGCTATTAAAGACAGATTATTAAACACTTTTCGAAGCGTATAACCTAACAGTTTTGTAAGTAGATGACTTGTCATTTATAAATGTGATTACAAGTCCTATAAAAGCAACCTCATTCACAGGACCCATCCTATTGGTGAGTCGGAACAAGGTTTAATTTGACTAGTCCAATTTTATTTTAATGATAATTTTGTAATTTTTATAGATGGTAAAAATAATATTTGATATTTTGGAACTAAAGGATGAAATTCAAATGTATAGTATAAAAACCGAACCGAACCAAACCACGTTTTTTTTTTTTTTTTTTTTTTTAAAATTTTAAATTTAGCTTTATACACCCTTTAGGGGAAAAAAGAGAGAAGAAAAAAGCATAGCCAGCCGGCCCAGCCCAATAATGATTAAAGGGCTGGGCTCAACTTGAAGTTCAAGGTCCAGGAATCCAGTCAACCAGTTTCAGTCACCGTCGAATCCAAGATCGAAGAAACGACGGGCTTTGCTCACAGCCTCCGGTGAGATTTCGAAAGAAGCTTCTCTCCGACTTTTCATTCCGGCGGGACTTTCGAAACTTCCCGATCGTGTACTATCGTCTCTTCCATTTTGCCTTTTACATTGGCTATTCAAGGTAGAGTCTCTCACCTTTTCTGTTGCCTCTCTGGATTGTAGGGATTCAATTGCTCCTTTTCAAATGTCTGTTATCAGGTTGTAAGATTTTATATATATATTCATTTTACTTCTGATTAGAAGAATGCAGAATTATAATAGATTCAAGCGGGAAAAATTTCCCTCAAATTTATCATGAAATCAGTCAAATCAGTCGAGCCTACCTTATTTTCTACTTTTTCAGGATCTGGGAAGAACTATGGCATGAAATTCTGACTCTCTTATGACCACAGAGCATTACGATTCTCTTTAAAAAAAAAAAAAATAAGAAACCAAATTAGTACCTGGCTGAGGTTGAAATGCATGGGATTTTTTTTTTTTTTCCAAACTTTATTTTTATTTTTTCTCATGTTAATTGGTCGGTGATCATTATAGTTTATGTGCGGTTTTGACAATGCTTATAATCCACTGTGTTTAATATTGGTAATCATGTTAAAATGTAATCCGTTCTAGATGTCTTTTTAATGTGTTTGGTTCTTAATTTTAAAGGTGGCTTGATTTAGTTGAAATTTGAAGACTCCATTCTTAATAATCGTTGTCATGGCATCTAGACGGAGTGTTCGTTACAGCTCCCTTGCCGCTGATGATAACGATCTTGATTATGAAGGAAGTCAATATGATCCTCGCTTTTACTATACCCCAAAAGCTTTTGACAAGATCCCGTGGAAATCCATTGCTCTTGCTCTCTTCCTGTTGCTTCTTGGGTCATTGCTTTTGTTTCTTTCGTACTTCGTATTAACTGGTCACATGGCTGGAGAGAAATCACAAGCTTATGGTCTTTTAGCATTGGGCTTTCTAACCTTCCTCCCAGGTATTGATGAGAATTTATTCTTCATGATTTCTTGAATGTAATTCTTGTATCATTTATTTCTACTGTATGCGAAGTGTTGTAGTACTGGTGTCATGATAATGATTTTGGTTTAACAGTCAGACGACAATATGGAATCCAATGGTGTCATGGTCATGTAGAACAATGACATAATGTAGAAAGGGAAATTTTGGGTCAAAGAAATTTCTAAAACACTCCAATTGGCACAGATTGGCGGGGGAATATTTTACAGAAGAAATTGTCAATTTTATAAAAATTTTGTCAAGTTTATTAGATAACACGAAAGGACGCCAAATTTCTACGAAGAAAGTTTTTTTCGAAAAATTTCTAACTTTTGGACGCTTTTTCACGTGAAGAATTTGAGTTAAGAGTGTTGTGTTACCAAGCTTAAGTGACTATCAATTTAATTTATTTGGTTCGAAGTGGTGTTGACTCATCCTGCCTTAGAAATTTGATAATCTGAGAAACTTTTGCTTTGTCGTTGCAGGCTTTTATGAGACTAGGATTGCGTATTATGCATGGAGGGGCGCTAATGGATATTGCTTCGCTTCCATTCCCGATTACTAGGGGTTTCTATCTCAATGGTGTATGCTTATCTCATCTCTCTTTCAATGTAAAACTATCATATGAAGTTAGAAAATTGTTTGTACAGAATTATGTCTATTGAGTTTGCAGCGTATTCATCGTTTATTCCTTTTTCTTAGCTTGTTTAGATTTAGAAAAACGATAATCATGTAGGTGTGATTTGTTAACAAGACTTGTTGCTAAAACGCATGAACTCTCATGTCCATGCAAAAACTTCAAATGAAATCATTCTATGACTACCGGAGTGGAACAAGGTTTATGCAGGATTTGAACTTTTTTCTGGATTACCTGTGCAGAAGAGAACGTAAAGAAGGCACAGGTTGTTTCATACCAAAACACTAGATGAATTTTTAGTTGCACCTGATGCTTTTATGAATGTTATCTTTGATTGATTTATATATTTATAATTTCTAGACTTCGATGCTCAAAAACATTGTCGATTGTTATAAACCTTTAATCGTCCTACTGCCCATATTTTAGCACAATCAAAAAATCCAGTTGTAGATTGAAGATTTCTTAGTTTTAGCGAAGGACAAACTAAAAGATTTGTCAACTTTGTCCATAAACGGCTTGATGGGATCCCTCCAATCCCAAAAACTTCTATTTCAACAATTGATTATTTTGTTCTTCTTGGAAGCTGTCTAATGCTGGACGGAAAATCCGAAGCAAACTACTTTAGGGGGAAAAAGAGTAACCCTTTCTTGTGTGCGATTTAATTGTATTTGCACCAATTTGATTTTATAATCAAATTCTTTAGCTAAGAAGAGAGTGTAGGCTATGTTTGGTATGTCTACATTCTTTCCTTACACAAGAAGTGGACAATTATTCAACGCAAGTGTGTGAACATAGGCCTAAAGAGAATATGCTTTTTTTTTTCCCCCTTTTTTTTTGTTTAGCTTTGTTTCTTCAGTGTTGCGATATCTGTTCATCTGGGATTGGTATTTTCTTTTATCATCATGTATTTCGCATAAATCAAAGTAATGAATAAAGGAAGACTAGCTAGGTTGAAAATTAAGATGAAAATTAATTGTTTGGTGGATAAGATATGAATTTAACAATGCATCCCAATTGTTCTTCTCCATCCATAATCTATATAGATATATGGTTAGACTTCAGTTTTTCATTAAGAAAGAAACAGGAGAGAGAAAAAAAAAGTCCCAGAAACCCAATTTTCTCTTTCAGGACTTCCACTTGATGATGGCGAACTCAATTAACGAAGCAAATGGGTGGAAGATCCAGTGAACTCCAAATCGACAAGTCAACTTCACTGCTTGAAAAAGACTCCATTTCAGGTGAACAGCTTTCTTCTTTATCTTCTTCCTCCTCCATCTTCTTCTCTTTCATCACTTGCTGATACTCCTCCTCCTCTTCTTCTTCTTCTTCAACCTTCTCCTCATCTGATCTCTTTCTGTCACATGCTTTTCTCAAGCTTGCTATCAGCTCAGAAGATCTCCCTCTCCCATTCCCACCATCTTTCCCAAGCTTCAATTTTAGGCATTCATTAATCCCATTAAAGGCATATAGAGACGCTGATATCTTTCTCTCATATTTCATCCTTTTCATGGCTTCTCTCAGCATTGAAGGTGGCTGATCATCTTCATTGATCCCTTCTGCTTCCATTGGCTCCCCTATCTCCTCTGCAATCTCAAATGGAGAGTAGTAACATGGTGGCCCAATGTCATCGAGGAAATGAAAATCCAAAACACTTGATTTTTCTTCTGCTTCTTCTTGTTGGATTCCACTTTTTTCATCTCCTTCTGAGGTACTCATCTGGGTTATTCCCAACCAGTTGCTGCTCTCCATATCTCCACCGTCTGATTCATCTTTCTCAGTCAAACATGACTCAAAACTCCTACTGATTTCTTCAATATTGGGGTTGTTGGTGGTGAAAACTTCATGGTCGTTGAGCAAATCACTTAGAACTTTGTCTGTTAAACATGTTGTTGCCAATTCTTCTCTGCATCGATATTCATTTGTGTGTAAAATCCTCTCTTGCGTTGGCTGGTGTTTCTGTTCTTGATGATTATTTGGAAGATTGTTGTTATTGATGGACTTGTTTCTTGCATTCAGCCTTTGGATAAGAAGATTGGTGATCTTTGAAGGAAGGGCTGGTGATGAAGCTGATAAAGGGGAGCAAGGCCAGAAGTTGGTTCTTGTGTTGGAGCCACGGAGCAAGCAAGCTGCCTCATCATAAGCTCTAGCTGCTTCCTCAGCTGTGTCAAATGTGCCCAACCATACTCTAATCTTTTGTATGGTGTCTTTGATCTCCGCCACCCATCGCCCCGACGGTCGTTGTCGGACGCCAACGAATCGCTTTCGGGCTCTTCGAATTCCTCCTAGCTCTGCTGCCACCGCGTCCTCCTTCACCATTTCATCCCATCCCATAGCTCCTCCTTCACCGGAGCTCTTGTCTTCCTCCACTCCTTCAACAGCCTTTCTCTTTCTTGCCATTTGCTATGATTTTTGTTTCGGCTAATTGTCTTCCTCTTCCCCTTTTAGTGAAGAAGACACTGGAAAGTTAGGATTGCTCGACTTCACCTTGAGTTGCTGTAAGTACATATTTATAAAGGGGAAAGAAGAGAAGTGCTAAAGGCCGGGGAATTGAAATGGTTTTTCGTGAAGTTTTGGTCCTACATTTTTGTAATTTTTAATATTGGCTTCATCTTAAGGGGCCACATGGCAGTTGATCAACAACTGCAAAACTCAAACCAGGTATGTTAGTGATGTGATTTTTCAAGTGAATTTTCTGACTCATTCAAAAGGGTTTCTTTATGGCTTAATTAACTTCTTATTTTACTCCAAATCCTTGTAATCAATGATTTCAAGTATTGCTTTAATTGGTACTTAGAAAGAAAGAAAGAAAGATCTTTTTAGCATATAGAAGACAAATAACCTTGAAATTATCACTTTCATACAAGAGAATCAAATTCTATTTCATTTTGTGATGATAAATAAATAATATACGGTTTGTTCTAACTTGTATGGGCAATTGGGGTATAAGATTTATTGTAATACTCAAGTAAACGAGAAATACATGAAGGAACTAATATAGTATTCATGAGAATATAATGATTAACAATATTTAAAAGAATTGATAATTAAACGTGTTCAATTTGAAACAATCCTATGTTGAGTGATATTTGTTTGTAGGGGATAGTCTTCACTCTTAAAATGACGATTAAGTAATGCGTTTATGCAATAAGGGAAGGTATCAAATTTTGATTTCGAATTTTAGATAGGAGACATTATCGAGTGGAAAATGAAATGAACTCTGTTACATTTTACTTTGGATAATTAACCATATAATAATAATAATAATAATAATAATAATAAAAAAAAAGAAAAGGAGGTTAGCCTGACCAAATTGCTCTCTAACTATTTGTGTTTTGGCAATGAACGTAAATGGAAAGCGATTTATCCAATGTATTTAATGTCACATCATAGGTTAAATATTAATATTTATTTATTTATTTATTTTGAATTTGAGCTTACAAATGTGACACTAGAAATTTAATTTAAAACTTTATAGTTAATCATTGAATATCATATTATTTAACTAAATTTGGGTAACGTCACCCTAAAAAGTTCTAGATGTCGACAAATTTTTAATTATTTATTTATTTATAAACAATAATACTATTTGATATTATACAACAAAAACACATACAAAAAGTCAAAAACTTTGTTACCCTTTCGTTTTTATCTCTCGATTTTAAAAATGAAGACAATCAAATAAGACAATACACCTAATAATTTACCCTAAAAGAAATACACAAAATATTACACATAGTTATAATAGAAAATAAAATAAATTTTTTTAGTAATTTCATATTTTATTAAATTAAAATACAATCCACAATTTCTTATGAATAAATGAAAAAATAGGCTAACAATCTTTGTACGTCTTTAAAGAAGAAAAAAAATTAATAAAAAGACAAAGTCGAGATTATATTAATTTTCAATTTAATCGTTCTTGAAATTAACCAAAATCCACTTGTTTCACAATGCTTATTATTATATGTAGGAGTTTTGAATGAATCAAACCCAAACAAATTATGAGCATTTGGAAGTTAATTATTTTGTTAGATGGATTCTAAAAGGAGACTTCTACTAGAGATATGCTTTTAAATTTCTTCCTTCATTTTCTTATTGTATTTAATTACAAACGAAACCCATTCAAAGAAGAAACAATTATTGTATTTAAATACCTCCATTTATTTATACCCATAAATCTTATATACTCAATTATTCTTTATTAAACAACTTTTACAACTAACTTAATTAGGATTATGTAACCACGATGCTTTGTTCTCCTCCTCAACCAAATGGGATATCACAATCTATCCTCTTTTAGGGTTCAGGGTTCTCGTTGGCACTTGTTCATTTCTCCAATTCATGTGGGACACTGCTCGTGTTCACCCCCTTCAAGGATTAGTCCCCTCACTGGCTCTTCCAGTTGGCTCCCTTATCCATGGTTGAGATGTGTGTTTCGAAATTGCATTTTTTAAAAATAGAATGGCATGCATGCATTTGTAGCGTCGAGCACAGTACCTACTCCTCTCTTCTCCTTGTCGCCGTTTTCGAACTTGCCAAAATTTCTCTCCAGTCGCTTCTAAAATAGATGAGGAATTTCATGGAGAAGCTTCTTCATCAGGTCATGTCGGTTGACATCTTCTAGTCTCATGTTTTTGTGAAAAAATTATATTAACTAGTTGAAGTATACAAACCTTACTACAACTTCAAAATAGTAATGATAAAATCATAAATCAAGATTAAAATTAGACATAAAAAAAGAAAAGAAAAAAAGAAAAAAAGTAAAGGTTGGAAACAAAAGTATATAATGAATTGGCTAAGTTCCTTGAGACGCCGTTGGCCATCGAAGCCTTCATTTGCAACAACAAAATTTGGTGCTTCCGACGGGCGTCGGTACCTATTCCTCTTGTTCTTTAATTGTTCCAATTGCGTAGTCACGAATTTTCACGTTCATCTTCGCCGTTGGGCTTCACCATCTCTGATCGAATTGGGTAACCTATCGATTGATGTCTAATTCTCAGGGTCTTCCCAGAAATTGGGACCTTACATGTTGATCGGAGAGCGTTTGTTTTTTTTTTAATTGAATCGAATTGAAGCGTTGATGTTATGTTTTCCTACGAAGTTTTTCGAATAATCTTGTTTGATTGGCTGGGATCTGTCGTGCGAGTAAAATGCTGATTTCGCTGATTTGGGCAATTTGATTTTGAAGGTTTGGGCACGATGAGTGAGGTGTTTGAAGGGTATGAGCGCCAGTACTGCGAGATCTCAGCGAACCTCTCAAGAAAGTGCACTTCGGCTGGTGCTCTAAATGGAGGTATTTCCACCTGTTGATTTGTGAATTTTGGTTTCCATATGTGGTTATATTTTCAGATTCCACCTGAAAATTAAATTGAAATTCGCGCCAGTGGCTATTTCTCGATGTCTGTTATATATTTGTTTATGGATTGCTGATTTGTGATGCTAAATAACAATCGATTCGGGGGTCAAAACTTGTCAAATCTTGGTTAAAATAACTTTTGTCTGATTTTGAATTATTTCAACAACATGTTTTTTGTCCTGTTATAAAAATATTTAAATGACATCATGATAAAATATTTTAACCTTTTCAAAATCACTCTCTACGTGCCATTAGTTAATAATCGAATTACTATTCATAAGCGAATAACTGTTCATAGAGAAACATTTATGCATATTGTTAAAATCTGGATCAGTTCTAAGTTCTGTTAGATCCCTCACTCTTCATGTTTAGCTTGTTCATTCTTGAATTGGGAAATAATTCAGAAAGAAGATTAGAAAGAGTCCACTCCATATGGTATATTTTCATTTCATGTTAATGATTATTGTAATAATACTCGTTTTATGGTTGCCTTTCGATTTCCGTATCTCTCAACTTTTAACTGTGTGGAGCCAAAATCCTCCCCGTAGATTATTTGATATTACAATGTAGGATACTTTTACTTTGAAGAGATGTAGTAGTTCATTCCAACACGTACATCCAAATACTCGCAAGTACTCGCAAATACCTGCCAATAGGATGGTACTGTATTAGTAAGAGAAAGGAGAGAGATGTCCCATCCCTTCTTTATGCTAATCCATATACATAGTCAGTCTCAAAGGTGTATAATTTGTCAAAATTTGCAGCCTTTTTGGTCATTCATTGATTGTTATCTTACCTTCTCTCATGGCTGCCAAACGTCAACTGAGAGAGGAGAAGCAATGGCTCACGAATCAATTGGTTTCAAGCGGACTCATGGAGTTACTGCTTGGATTATTGTAAAATAAGAGGATTTTTAATCCTTTCTCAGCTTAGGAAATGACTTTTTAAGTTTAAGTGTTCACTATCTAGCTTCAAATTTTCTCTAACCTTTTCTTAGTGATGATCATTAAAATTCAATTTGTTTAGTTTCTTTCAAATTGAAGCTTCTTATTATTTCGTTTAATATTAGAGAAAAAAATAGACTGACGTTATTTGCTACATGAATGTATCATACCTGCAGAGCAAAAGAAGCAAACGGTTTCTGAAGTGAAGGCTGGGATTGATGAAGCAGAAGCTCTGGTACTTAGTTGACATGTCCTTGTTGAGAAAAATGCCTTCAAACATCATCTTTCAATGTTAATATTATATTCTTTGTGCTTTCTAGATTCGAAAAATGGATCTTGAGGCCAGAAGTTTGCCTCCTAATGTCAAGGCTGTCCTTTTGGCTAAATTAAGAGAGTACAAATCTGACCTCAACAATTTGAAAAGTGAAGTTAAACGCATTGAATCCGGAAACTTAAATGCAGCCACTAGAGATGAGTTGCTGGAATCAGGAATGGCTGATACACTGACGGTATGTCTGTATCCACTGCTATACTAATTGTTTTTATTACATATATGTTGAAATGACTTATTTTCTTCATCACTGCCCCTGCCATAGAATCTTCCAATTTTTTTGACGGGTTATAATAAATATATAAATGGGTGCACTCATCAGCTGTCCAAGACAATATGTATTAGGTTGTTTTTTGCTGTGCCTCATTGGAAAACCAAAGATGTTGGTGCTATGTTTCCTGTAGTTGTCAACGTTAAAGTTTTTAACCTATAACACATGCTTTCTCTTCCTTAATTCTTGATTTTAAGTCCTGAAGCATTCATATATTATCTTTTGCAATTGTGTATTAGCTATGACTCATGCCTCCTACCATTTCATATAGGCATCGACTGATCAAAGAGCAAGATTAATGACCACAACAGAGAGGCTAGGTAAGTCTAGTGATAGAATTAAGGAAAGTCGAAAAACCATGCTAGAAACAGAAGAACTTGGAGTTTCAATTCTTCAAGATTTGCACTCGCAGCGACAGTCTCTCTTGCATGCTCATAATACGGTATGCGATTTTACTCTTCATGTTATTTGTGATGTAGATTCTTTATATTGTGTTCTTGTGATTATGATAAACCAGCCATTGTATTTCATGGCCGCCATTATCTTTGTCAAGCAAATCCTTCCCTAATTTTTCCTTCTTAAATTTAGGCTACTTGATTTTTTTTCTTTCATGTTTGTTTTTAAAAATGTATTGCTTTTGGGGGTCTCTCTGCTTGTAGTTTTTATTCTATATTTTCCACCTTTTTCAGCTTCATGGAGTAGATGACAACATTGACAAGAGTAAGAGAGTTTTAACCAACATGTCAAGAAGGATGAACAAGAACAAATGGATTGTTACATCCATTATTGTTGTCCTTGTCTTGGCCATTGTCCTGATTTTGTACTTCAAACTTTCTAAATAGCAAGGTTATCTCCTTCATTTGGGTGTTGCTTGTTGAAACATGACTTCGTGTTTTCTTTTCTTTTTTTCTTTGTGGTCTGTTGTGAGTTTGCACAATGACTCATGTCAAGATTAACTATTTCTTGCCTGCGTCTCAGTCTTCTGTGTTCAAAAAACAATATTAATGATGTATAAGGTTTACCCAACATTTAATGTACTGTTCCTAATACCTTACAGGACATGGTATTCGTTTACTTTGAGAATACACAGAAATGCTTTGAGCTAAAAAATTTGTTTACTTTCCCAAATGGTTTTATCTTCTATGCTTCTACTTATGTTCTACTAATTACTTCTTCTTCTCCTTCCTGAATGCACAATAATCCTCAACCAATCTATCCATGGCTTTAAGCTTCACGTCCTCAACCATTGCCTTCAAACCCTGTTCATCACAAACCTTTTAACAAATACATATGCATATAAATATATCAAGAGTTCTGAGTTTTAAAAAATGGTTTCCATGGCGTCTTTACCGTCTCTACGATGCTCTGGAAAACGTCTTTCGGAATGAAAGTCAGAGCGTCCGGGATATGGAAGCTGAGATTTATTTGGAGTTGAAACTTAAGGCGGCTTCTGATTCCAAATTTTTCACTGTAAATAGCTCCTCTAGAACAAACATTGGCTGAAGATGGCATGTAGTCTCTCTGGATCCCATTGAGCTCCCAATTTGTCTGCCCAAAAAAAAAAAAAAAAAAAAAAAAAAAA